GTCAATCCCTCTCTCGTGTATGATGAATCCGAGGAACTTTCCCGAGGTCACGCCGAAGGCGCACTTGGCGGGGTTGAGGCGCAGGCCGAACTTCCGCAGAGTGTCGAATGTTTCAGCCAGGTCGGAAGGATGAGCCTCCGCCGTTCGGCTCTTTACGATCTTGTCGTCGACATACACCTCCATGTTTCGTCCAATCTGGTGGGCGAACATCCTGTTCACCGTCCTCTGGTAGGTTGCCCCGGCATTTTTCAACCCGAACGACATAACTTTGAAAAAATATATCCCTTGCTCGGTGAGGAAGGCCGTGTGTTCTTGGTCTTCGGGTGCCATCCTGATTTGGTTGTACCCGGAGAAGGCATCCATAAACGAGAGTCGGGCGTGGCCGGCCGTGGCGTCGACTAGCTGGTCGATCTTCGGCAGGGGGTAGCAATCTTTTGGGCAAGCATTGTTGAGACTGGTGTAGTCAACGCACATCCGCCAGCTTCCATTAGGTTTTTTGACAAGGACTACATTGGAGAGCCACTGTGGGTACCTTGCCTCTTCTATGAAACCGACCGCTAGAAGCCTTTTTACTTCTTCTCGGATGGCCAGTTGCCGATCCGGGGCCTGCCGCCTGGGCCTCTGTTTCACCGGGCGGGCGTCGGACGAGATGTTCAGGTGGTGCAGCGCGACCTCCGGGTGGACTCCCGCTAGGTCAGCCGGCGTCCAAGCGAAGATGTCGGCGTTGGCTTGCAGAAGGCCGACGAGCTGCCGTTGTTCTTGTTCGGGCAGTCCCGACCCGATTTTGACTGTTTGGTCGGGCCTTACTTCGATCAGTGGCAAGTCAATGGTGGATTCCTTTGGCTCGGGGCGGGGGGTCGGTTTTTTTCCCTCCCGGGGGTCTTCCAGCGGGGATTGGACCCTCGCTCTCTTGTTTAATGACACAGCGGTCAAGTAGCAGCGCCTGGACTCCCAGGAGTTCCCCGCCACTTCCCCGACCCCATCGTGGGTCGGGAACTTGATGGTTTGGTAGTAAGTTGAGATGACGGCTCGGGTCTTGTTGAGGGTTGGCCGTCCTAGGATGGCGTTGTACGCCGTGGGGAGGTCGACCACCAGAAAGGAGGTCATCACCGTTTTTGCCTTCGGGAAGACTCCCAAAGTTAGGGGCAGGGTGATGACCCCTAGTGACGAGATTGAGGCGCCGGTGAACCCCGTGAGTGTTGAGCATACCGGCTTCATGTTCTCCTTTACCAGGCCGAGCTTTTGGAAGGCGTCCCAATAAAGTATATCGGCCGAGCTTCCGGTGTCGACCATGATCCTCCTCACTTGTGCGTTGGCAATTCTGGCTGATATCACCAACGCGTCATCATGTTCGGCTGGTTCAGGTTCCCCGGCCGGGAAGGTGACTTCGGGGCCTTTTTCAGGTTTGGAAGCTTCAACCCGGGAGGCCCTGGCGTATGCCCTTCCGCCCGCCATGGAACTTCCTCCGGACGCTGGCCCGCCGGTTATGACATCTATGTGCCGCTCGATGGGGCCCTCCGGGCGTGGCGAGAGCTCCTTATCTGGTCGGAGGTATGAGCCGAGGTGCCCTCGGCGGATGAGCTCCTCAATTTGCCTTTTTAATTCTCGACATTCCTCGGTGTCGTGACCGGGCTGCCGGTGGAAACGGC